AGAGTACCTTTTAGCTGAGTTAGCACAGACTGATTGTGCTTTGGTTGTTCAGCTTTTTATATGGGGAAAGAAAGTTTTTTCCTGCTGTCAGAAGGAAAGTCTTGAGCACTGGAGTGATTATGTCCCTGATGTGAAGGGGGAGCAGCGTGCAAGCTGCTGCTGCAGAACCATCAAGAGGACAGAGTAGAGAATGAGGATAGCTTTCATTTTCTCTAACAAGCTTTAAGCCTTGGCTAATAAATGTCTCATTCTGTTGAAGAATCTTAGCTAAAGAATAGAGTCACAAATTTCCTCAGAAATTATTAATTAAGAACTGATGCTGGAGACAACCCAAGATTCCTTCTCAATTGTGTGAACTGGGTCCTCTCTCTCCATTGAAGTACACTGGCTTATTTCTTATGAGGTTTGTCCTTGGTATTTAGCCGCTCTTTTCCCTTCCTGATCCCAATGCCTGATCCAGTTAGAAAAAAAACCCCAAAACCAAAAGTTTGTTCTGTCTTGCTGCTGACCAGATATAAAGTGGACTTTCTGTGAAGTTTTTGGAACTAGCTTCACAGTAAAATAGAAATCTCAGAAAGAAAATCTAACGGAGCACAAACTTAACAAACATCTGTTGGGGGTTTTAGTTTAACCTGTATGAAAGTGCAGTTGCTCAGTTTTCAATCAAGAACATAATTCGAGTTTTGAATTTGTGACTTTAGTAAAATAGTAATTTAGGTTTTGCTAGATATTATTTTCTTAGTCTACTGCTTTATTTTACTGTGTTTTATTTTCATTTTTCATTTAAACACAGTAACTGAAAAAGATTGTACAACATAGCTACAGACTAAATGCCTTTTTTATATGTTCATGGCTGTCTAGCAGTTTCTGGCTTTAAACACTAAAATGTTGTAAAGCAGTATAACTTTGAAGAGTGCATCTGTTTTAGGAGCTTTTGATGTGATGTACCTAAAAGTAACTATCTAATTTGAAAATGAAAATGCTGAATACCTACCTTACTGTAAAATAAACAGAATTATAGTTTACTTTCATCTATGAAATTAAGTTATGATATGTTTATGGGTACAGTGTTTGTATGACTCACCCTTTAATATTTGATCTTCTATTCCAAGTCCAGCAGCTGTTTCCATTCAGGTCCACTCAGTTTCTTGAGTTTCTTGTCTATTCAGTACAGAGACAAAGTTTTATTTTCACTTCTGCTGTAATGACAGCAGTGTGTTATGAGGAAAATTTTCTTTAATTTCATGTTTAAGCATCAGTGAGAAAGATTAAGGCAAAAAGAAGGAAAGATAAAACACAAAATTATTAAGCATCTGATTAGAAGCAGAGGGAGAGGAGGGGAGGATAGAGGACAGAGACAGAAGGAGCAACAAGAAATGTAGGAATTGATACCGAGAAACAGATTGCTGAAGAATAATTAAATATAAGGAAAATGAGACAATGTTAAAAAGCAAATGCATTAACTGAATTGGAACAGAATTTTTTATTTTTCTGCAAACTGTTATTTTAAGCTATTCAAAAAATATAAAGGTAAAAAAACAACCTTGGTACTACATGTCATTCTGCTAACTTTCTGCCTTTCTTCTGGTGGGTAGAATACCCAGCGTTTGTTTAATTAAAGTGAAAATGTAATGAGAATCACTGAAATGTTTACCTGAAATATTACAGGATTATAAGTCTAATGTTACTTTTCAAACTTGTTCTAGTAACATTTCTGAGTATTTTCACTGCATTATCTGCATTTCTTGGATGTCTTTCATATGTTACAGATATTTATACCAAATCTGTACTTTCAGTCCAGTGTACAGGCCCTTACAGCTTTTCCTCTAGCAAATCAATAACATATTTAGTATATTACATTTTTAAATTTTGGTGGTTTTTTAAGACTGCTTGTTTTGTTAGGTCTGTTTTAATTGACATCCTGGCATAAATGACACAACATCTTCTTTTATCTTGTAGTAAACTTGTCTCAAATCACACATTGTAGGAACATTTGGAGTTTTTAACTAGTTAAATTGGTATTGCAAATAAGAAAAACTTGCTAAATAGTTTTCCAGAGGTATTTGAGCAATTGTTTCATATAGTATTCCATTTTGACATAGTAAGCATTTTGTATTATGAGGCTTTTTATGGTATATTATTATTATTTGTAATTTAGGCAAGCCCTGAGGAGAATCAAGAAGGAAATTTTGGTTCAGAGCACTCTGCGTCACCATCACAAGGGAGCAGTCAGCAGCAGTTTTTAGAAGTGGAAACAAATGTAGATGATTCAATGGATATTCAACAACAGGTAAAACTGTTATAAATTTGATTACAGAAGTTGGGAGGAAAATACATACTAAGATGATTTCAAAATGTATGCTTTTCATACAGTCATATATACTGTGAGTATATTTATTAAATGTTATTCAACAACTGTTATATCTGACCTCAGGACATGGATATAGATGAAGGACAGGATGTTGCTGAAGAAGAGATTTTTGAACAAGAAGAAAAGAAATCAGCTGTTCGTTCAAGATCAAGAACTCGCTCAAGATCTCGTTCAAGGTTTCATGATTAACTTGTATTACATAAATGAAGGTTTTTTGAATCAAAGCTGCAAGTTGTGATTATCAGTCTCAATTCTGTGTTTTCCAAAATTGTCATGAGCAGTTTTTGGAAATGAAAAAAATATGTTCATTTAATATTTGTGTGTTAGGTGCAGACTTTCTGTATGAGTTCATTTTTCATATCTATGTTTTACTTTAGTATGTTTTTTTTGAGACTTGTTCAGTCAACAAAAATAACTTACACTAGCCAGCTGGACAGGTTTTCTATACCAGAGAAATGCTGTTACAGAATATTTTCTAGTTCTCACACTAATGACATTAAACTTATTTCCTGAAGCAGTTTTACTGAACATAACAGAAGTGTCTGTATCATGCTTAAAGTTTATAGTTAGAAGACAAATAATTTTTTTTTTCTTTTTAACTCAGCATACTGAAATTAAGTATTTTGTAGGTCACCAAGAAAACGAAGGTCAAGATCACGGTCTGGTTCTCGTAAGCGTAAACACAGAAAACGTTCACGCTCAAGATCAAGAGAAAGGAAGAGAAAGTCATCTCGGTCATATTCCAGTGAGAGAAGGGCTAGGGAAAGGGAAAAAGAACGTCAGAAAAAGGGTTTGCCTCCTATACGGTCAAAAACATTAAGTGGTAAGTAGCAGCCACTTACTCTTTTAATAATGTAGTATTAAAGGGAGCAAGGGCTTGGTTTTCATTGAAAGAGAAAGGTTTAGCTTGAGTACTCTTAAAAAAATACAGTAACCATATTCTCTCTTAGAAGGTTCATTTCTGATGTTTTGTACAACTTAGGTTCATCATTTCGTCTTAGAGGAGAGCAAGTATCATAGTGTTCTACTGATGATTTTACTCATAGTGTTGCGCCAGTGATTTTACTTCTGAACAGAGGGTAGCAAGGGTCGTCCCTAAATTACACTCTGCTTTCTCTTTAATGCTATCTAATGTGGGGCATTTGAAAATGATCAGTGCTTGATCTGAAAGTTGGTATGCTGATATCACTGTATGGTTTATCTGACAAGATAGGAAGTTCAAAATTCATTTTTACAAAGGAAAGACTGTTCTGTTCTCTTCACGTTAATATTTTACATCATTCCAAGGTAGCTTTAAATTCAGACCTGTACTGTAGTTTAGATGATGTTTTTTTTCTTCTCTGGTTTTTCACATGAAACGAGGCAAAGCAGTTTTACAGTGTAGGTTTCTCCCAGCAGCCCACAAAGCAGGGGACTATAATCAGAATGGATGAGAGCTGGGAGACAGGGATGTTAAGTGACCTGATGAAGAGCAGCAGCAATTGAGGTTCTGTGAAGTGACCTGGCTCATGGAAAGGAGATATTAAGAAGGCTGAAGTGTGGAAACTTCAGGGGTGCTGGTGGTAAATAAATAAATGAATAGGTAATCAACATGACAAGTGTTCTGCTTCATAAAATTTGTTCACTGACAGCCATTGTTACCACTTGCTGAGGTCTGAAGAATTTTTTCATAGAGCTTAACACCCTGAGAAACAAAAGGGCCATCTACAAGCATTGGAGGAACAAGTTTTGTTGGAGAGAAATCTTAAGGCTAGTCTTTCTCAGTACTGCTGTCAATTGAAAGTGTTATCTGACGGAGGAACACAGAACACTTGTTTCCAGCTGGGTGCAGCAAGATTGGTACAGGAAGGATGTGTGATGTATCAAGATGGTGATGAAGAAAGAATGTTTCCTTGTTCTAGGATAGGGCAGGCCCAAGAGGTCCAGGTTCTCCGATTTCGTTCTGCCTTTGATTCTTGATGATCGTGAGTAGATTACTCAGATGAATTACTCACCAATTACCTTAGTAATTGGTGGGTGAGGAAAACCACCAATATTAGCCTAATCAGATCACCCTGTTTTAAGCGGAGTCAAGTGCTATGAATTTTTCAAGGCTTGCACAAATAGGCTAGGAAATACTGCTTGCACAAATAGGTTGGGAAATATTTTGGAGACAAAACAATTGGAAACATGTACAATATGGGAGAAGGATGTTTTAGCTCACATGTCCATGATGAGTATTTATATTTGGCAAGGAGAACAGGGGTAGGCATCTGGGAGACAAATTGCAGGGATCTGGGCTAGTGGTGGAATTGACAAGAGTCAGAAGCATCAAGGACATCTTCAACTGAGTGGTGGGCGTCAGCCAAGTTTGTCTTTCTGGGATATTCCCACAGGTAAAGTAAAAATATAGTTTCTCTTTCTTTCAGGTGAAAATGCAGTGTGTAATACTGCAGTTAAGTTCCTTCCATAATACACTTCTAGCCAGTTAGAACTTAGTCTTACTTCTTTAAAACTGTCTTTAAATCTGAGAGGCATGTTGTTTATGGAACATGGAATATTTTTTTTCCTAAGTAAATTCTATTGCAATTTAATAATCTACAGATTTTTTTTCTAATTTCTTTAAAAACAACTATTTTCTCTGAAAGAAAGTGAAGCAAGAAGAGTGAACACTTGTACTGAATGTTTGGTGTCTTAACTCTAACGTTTTTGTTAATGTACTTAAACTCTGTATAGTAAACAATAGATTTACTGTTACTGCTTTTTGATCAATGATTTCTGTGTAATTGTAAAGCCCTTTATATCCATGCTATAGAGTATTTTATAAGCTAACATTCTAATGTTTGGATTGACAGTAATGTGTCTCTTGACAGTTTGCAGTACTACTCTTTGGGTAGGTCAAGTAGACAAGAAGGCTACACAGCAAGATTTAACTAACTTGTTTGAAGAATTTGGACAAATAGAGTCAATTAATGTAAGTAAGCATGTTATCCTGCATTTTCAGAGATTATGGACTTGTAACTTAAATATGTTTATGCCTCCGAATTCCTTTTAGCAGCTTAAGCTTGGATTTTGGAGATTTTTTTATCACTGTTTAAAAACTGTAGCTACTATATTTGCTTATTGGTTTCCATGTACTGCCTTTTGAAGCACTAAAGATCGTATGCTTCCTGATAAAATGGCTTTTCCCAGGCACTAACAGTTTACAAAGGGGTAAACCAGCATACTAACAACTAAAAAATTATGTCATTTCTCTTTTTTGTGATGTGGCACAGGGTAGGTATCATTTTTCCTTGGACTGAGGGACTCAAGCTGGCATGTATCCACATCGGTTTTGGTTACATTCCATACAGAGGCTTCCTAAAGTGGAATTAGTGTAGATGAACATTTAGAAGAAAGTAAATTGTACTGTAAGCAAGTGTTTATTCTAAAATGTGACAATTAAACAGATGCTTATAATTAGGGGATACATTTCTGATGATTCAGAGTAATTTAGATTTAGCTGTTCAGAGTTGTATTTTAGTGTTGCCTAAACACTAAAATACTAAATTCAGCTTCGAGAGAAAGTATTTTTCTCCTCATATAACATATGTATGTGAGAGAAATTTGGATTTTTGTCTTTTGCTCCAGCAGTTTTAAAGGTCTTCTCATGAAATTTCATTCATGTCAGATAATATTTCTACTATTTTTCCTATTATGTTAATATATTCAAATATATAGTTCATAAAGATAGTTTTGTGGTATTACAGACTGTTTTGAAAAGTTTCACAAGTCCAAAAAACCCTCATAGCCTGACATTTAAGCTTCATTTTGATTTTCAGGTGTCCTGGGTTCAACTTAAACCATGACATCAGGAACTAGCAGTTAAGAAATTTAAAGGGAAAGTAGCGTAACAATCATGATATTCCAGTGCCTATTAGATTTCAGAGGCAAACCATATTGTAAATAGTTCATCCTACACATGCCACAAAGCTTTAAGTACCTAGGATAATGTTGTAAATCTTAAATATATTTTCATAAGAACTGTATTAAAGGCTGTCATCTTAAGAATTTTTGTTCATTACGTTACTGCGTGCTCCTAAGCAACATAAAAGCACACCTATATTTTTGACTAAAACTAAAATAAGCAATTGTCATACACGATTTGCAAACTTTCAGAGGTTACATGCTGCATCATACTTTTCTTTCCTAAATAAAACGTTAAAACTAGTAGAAATCATACTTCAGGAATGAGGACTCTACCTTTCAAAAGTGCAAGATAGTTTTAATCACTATTTTGTGCCTCTGTTGAAGGTTGTTGCTCAGCTCACAGTGGATTTGGAGCTTAAGAAGAGGTATCAACCTCTGATTTTCTGAAGTTGTCATAGTAGAGCTCCCAGTTTTTGCCTACTCCATGTTATTAAAATATTTCACAAAATTTTTAGCACCCATTCTTCAGCTTGCTGCTGCTGCTTGACAATGTTATAACTGAAGTTCCCTGCCAATATGATTCTTGTTTTTTGCTGCTGCTCAAAATTATTAATATTGCTGGTTAAACTAACGATTGTTTACAGTGTAAGCCTTCCCTTTTTTAGTATTAGTATTCGTTTAGTGTAGTTACGTAATCTGAAGTACTGGTTTTCCTACTTTTTAAGACCATTGCTATTTTTCCGTAGATGATTCCCCCAAGAGGGTGTGCTTATGTCTGTATGGTTCATAGACAAGATGCGTTTCGTGCTCTTCAGAAACTTAGTTCTGGGTCCTATAAAATTGGATCTAAAATTATTAAGGTGAGTTGATTTTAATCGAAGAATGCTATCCCTTTCCAATTCGGTTTTAATCTGATGATTTGTCATGTAGCAATGTGCAATATGGAGGACAAGAATGAAGCAATAAGATGTAAATTGTTTTCTTTCCTCTCTGAGTAAAATGCAGCTTCTAACGGGTGATATAAAAGTAAAATGAAACAATTACTTGAGACTTAGGAAGTACTTGGAGAACTTTTTATGTACGTGCTAGTGGTAAGAGTACAGGACTGTAAACAACCCTACGCCTTTACATGGTTGTGTGGATCACTTAATATTGCATTTGATAGTATTCTTAGAGTTAAGTATATGAGTAAGTGTTGTGTTTTTTCTATGTTCCTTTATGCGTTAGGATGAGTCCTTGAAATACGGTATTTTTAATTTCCCCATATATGTGTCAGAATTAATGTAGAACAAATTTGAGCTGTTGAATGTAATTAATCTTCCACATCCCTGTTGTAAAAGCCAAGAAAACTTCCTGCAGGTTCATTTAAAGTTAAAACCTTGTTAAAACTAATAAATAGACACTGAAGATTGATCTGCAGTGACAGAAACATGAAGGAAATGATCTGAAATATTTTGTTCATGGGTTATATGATTTAACTGGATTATCTGGTTGGGTTTTATTTTCAGATTGCCTGGGCTTTGAATAAAGGTGTGAAAACAGAATACAAGCAATTCTGGGATGTGGATCTCGGAGTTTCATATATTCCTTGGGAGAAAGTAAAATTGGATGATTTGGAGGGCTTTGCTGAAGGTGGCATGATTGACCAGGAAACAGTAAATACAGGTATGGGCACTATCAGTGACTCTGATAGTTAGAAAATGCCTTTATTTTGGTAATTGCAAGTCCTCACAAAGTTTGTTGTTTAGGTATTACATACTTTTTTTCAATCTACATAAATTTTACTTGCTACATATAAATGGCACTGATTATGAAACCTAGATTGTCTTTGTAGATGTTTTAACTAGTTGATTGTCAAGGCAATGAGGAACGAGTGACAAAAGCGAATTAATTTAAGCAAGTTAATAAAGGTTAGCATTTTTTAAAACAGTTACAAATTTTCTGTGCACTTGTTTCCAAATTAATTTGTGTAGAATTATGATCTGCTTGTGATTGCGAAAAATCTTATATTTAGGTATAAGGCTTAAGATTGAGTTGGAACATGTCCAAATCAGGCATAGCTTAGCTGAACCTTGAGGTGTTTGCTCCATGAAATCGAAGAGACAGGAAAGCAAGTAATGATAGAACTTAGTCTAAAACCCAGTTAATTGAGAGGTTTGTGAGATTTGTAAAAGATTCACAAGTTTTCTGTTTTCTTGAAGCAGATCTAGCACCAAATGACTGGACTGTACTGAAGTAAACAGATCAAACTGTTTATAAGAGTAACAGTAATTTTTCAAGTCAAAATGCAGTCTTGCTTTGAGTAAAAATTGAATATAAATAACAGAAAAAATAAAATATGGAATATTACTGAAATATATTCAGTATGTTGTACTTGACTTACAAAAATTTTTGAGGAAGTGATGGAAGAAGTGAGGGTTGGTATGAGGTTTGTTTAGCTTGAGGATTCTCTGTCATTGTACAGCAGCCACCTCATAACACAGATGTGTTGACAACAGCAGTTTCTAAAATACTGGAGCATACTCTACATTAAAAATTATTAACAAAATGACTGGTGAAAAAACTTGGAAAGTTTTGAAAAATCAGTTTGTATATAAGCACAATTGAATGGTTTCACAGGTGATTAAAGCTGTTTTACATTCTTTAAAATATATAATATAAAGAATTGCACTTGCTTCTTTCCATAACTTGGGCATTATTTGCTATGAATCTGTACAAATACAGATAAAAATTTCTTTAGAATGAAGGAGACTTTTTAGTATTTAAATACAAATAACACAATAATTATACTTTCATATTAAAAATATACTTTTTTTTTTTTTTTTTTTAAGAATGGGAAACAGCCAGAAGCTCAGAAGCTGCTAAAGAAAATACTCAAACTACGCAGAGTGCTGCAGTTGATAAGAATACAGTTATTACAACACAGACAGAAGCTTACACGCAACCAGTCACTATGCTACAGGTTTGCATTGGTCTGAGTATGCAGAAAATCCACAGAACTGAAGGGCAAACTTTTTATTCCATACGGGTAAACTTTAGCGCTGAGTTAAAGTACTTCAATCAAAAATACTCAGGTCCTGTGTCCATATATGTTTATCCATGAAATATTTTAAGAGTAGAATCAGTTGTTGTGGTTAAGCAAACTCTCTAGTTTTATGCACAACATATCCCAAATGCGTACAGTCTCAAATGAAGGTTTAAATGTTGAAGACAGACCAGTAGGGAAAAAACCAAAACAACAAAACATACAAAATAAAAACCACCAGGAAAAAAAACAACAACAACAGAAGAATCCCAGAACACCAAAAAACCCCTCAAAAGCCCCACAGACAAACCCCAAAGCAAATACTGGCACGTCATTTTTTTTTAAGGACAAATTAAAATGAGCTTAGAGAAAGTGTTTTCCTTAAAGCAAAGCATCTTTCTGCAAGCTAAGCAATGTAATTTTTTTTTTCTGCTTGTGCTTGTTTCTTCTCTACCTGTGTGCTTTTCCCCATATCAGCTTTGACTGTAAATGTAATTATTTTTTTCAGTAATTTTGGGCAGGATTTCATAAAGACAGTCTCATCTTTAAAAGATTCGATTATTCAGGTAGTGTGCTGTTGCACTCCTTAGGCAGTAATTCATGAGCCTTTGATCCTCTGCTGTATTTGTTTTGCTTGTGCTAAACCAGAGAATTTTGATTAGCATCCAGTTGGTAACAAGGTATTGTGGAAGGCTGGAATAATACAGTGTAATTTTTATGAGTGTACTAAAGTATAGATATTGATCAAGTATAAATACAGATGCTTTCTGTAAAACTCTAAATCCTTTTTAGAATGACCATATTAAATTGTAAAATGAGAGTTGATTAATGCAAAACTCTTTGTATTCATATTGTTACTCTTACCTTTCCTAATATGTATAGACATTTCCAGTACTTGAGCTGACATAATTACTGTGAAAGTTAATATATTTGCATTTATTTGCATTGAATTTTGAACTTCTTTCTTTTCACAATAATTGTCTTCAGTCTTACTTCAACTGCTTCCTAGTGTGTGCTGTGATCAGTGTATATTTAAATATACATGTATTGGTTTTATTCTGCTGTTAATTAGTTGTAATTATGCTGCACTGTATCAAAACACATACCTCAAACAGAAGTTTGAGAAATATTAAGTACTTCTCAGTATTTCATCAGGAGTTAGTAGCATTATAATTACATACACTAAACTCAACTTGCCAGTACTTTTCTAAAATATGTTATTCTTTCTAATGAGAATGAAATCACTGTTTTCTAAGTGCTCTCAAATTGCCAAACTATCTAAATTTGCCTTCCTTTTCACTCTCTCCCTTTCTGCATTCACCTCTCTCCCATATGTAAATTTTTATTCATGAATAAATATAGTGTTTACCCATGTATTTTTCAGTTCTTTTTAGAATAAAGATAGTGTCGGATTCTTCCAGTGTCCTTGTTTAACTGTAGTGTAGGTATCATTTCAGAATGCAGTCTAATTCTTCAGGATGTTCAGAATACATACAGAGCCTTTGGTACATGTAGTGTTTAACATGAATAGCAGTCAAATCAATTTTCCCTCTTATAAAAATTATTGAAATTGCTTGTTTTTTCTTTCCATGAAAAAAGATTCCAGTAGCTCCAGCTGTGCCTGCTGTTAGTTTGGTTCCACCTGCATTTCCTGTCACAATGTCTGTCCCTCCTCCTGGTTATAGCGCAATTCCTCCTCCGCCCTTCTTGCGTGCGAGTTTCAACCCTTCACAGCCACCTCCAGGTAAGTTAGTAAAAATGAAGTTGAGTGTGTAATGAGTATACTCAGTTTGTGTCCTTCCTTGTGTATCATGCTTTATATAGTTTTCCGTCAGCTGCTGGTTACTCTTTAAGCCAGTTGACCTTTGAATCTGAGATTTCACACTAGATTAAAATTATTTATGTCTAAGTTAGTATTATTTTTACCTTAGTAATTATGCTGTTGAGAATAGGAATTACAGCAGATTTTTTTATTTTTTTTTAAACTTTGATCAAAACAAAAATTTAAAAATCTTTCAGATGAATCTTTCCTTTGAAAATTTTGAAACTCTTAATTTTCTTCTTTGGATGCTGCTGGCAGAAATTACATTTAAACACGCACATGCGAATCATCTTTAAGTGAAGATGGGGCTGCTATTGAAAACAAGGGCCATACACGTCTGCCTGTTCATTTGTTATTTAATAGTCTTCAGTGATGCAGCTTTCCAGGGTGAATAACATAGGCAAGCTTTTACTGCAAAACTTTTTTTGTTCTCATTGTAATAATTTGTCATTATTTTCCATATAGGTTATATGCCTCCCCCAGTTCCACCTGTGGTTCCACCGCCTGTTGTCCCACCACCTGTTGTTCCACCAGTTGTTCCAACACGTAAGTTTGAGTCTTCTAATAATTTTATGTGTTATGAAAAGCTCATATTTTAATATACTACTTGTTATTTAATCAAAAGTAAGATAATCCTGTGTAATGGAAAATAGCAACAGAAAACTTACTGTTTAGCTGGTTTAAGCAGGTATTGAGAAAAAGATTTACAGAGCTTTTCAAGTTGATGGGAAAATTATACTTAACCCTGGAGTTCAGTTGGAAAAAGACAAGTTATATTTGAACCTGTCTGCAACAGATGTGTTACTGTGAGCTATTTGATGTTAGTCACCGAATAATTTATAATAATTTATTAGCCTTTTAACCGTATTCATTTAACATTTAAAAGTATCTGTAAGAGTACTTATTACTTAGGTTGCCTGCAGTTCATGGTCTCTACAAAAAAATTAAATATTAAAATGCTGATTGAGGATAAGAAATTATTATGAAAAAATGTTACTTAGGTTAATTAATATCACTTATTTGGATGTATCAGCCCGACCTCTGCCAAGCTGATCTTGAAGGCTTGAATATATGATTACTGTGATACACTTGTGTTATTTTTTACAGCTTTAGTACAGCCTCCATTACCAATTGCACAAGAGACGATGAAGGATGTTCCTTTTACTAGCCTTGTTCTACCAGTTGGCACAGTTACTAGCAATCTAGCTACTCCAACATTATCTGCTGGAAATGTTTTTAATCCTCTGCCAATCAGCAAACCAGAATCAGATGAAAAAGGATCACATCTTGCAGACCTTCAGATTTCTTCCAGTGAAAACAATAGATCTGGTAAGAAATGTCTTCTGTTTGATGTCTTCTGTTGTCTGATACGATCGCATACAGGAAACATGCTTCTGATGTGTTTCTCTGCAAATTGTAGTCCATTGCATTAACTATAGAGTAGAAAGTTTTAGGCTGGGTACCATTTTCAGTTTAAGTTGGAGGAGTGGTGGGGACCATCTTTGTCATCATCTGATTATTGATTTCTAGCTGCTTATACTCAGGGTTGTTTTTCTTTGTAGACTCGAGAAGTAAAGCTAAGACTGAGAGCCCTTTACAAAACTTCTTAAAAAGTGTATTCTTACTCTACAAGTGGCAATGGAAAGGAGCAGGAGTGGGTAGGATAGTATGACATTTATAGCTTTACACTAAAGATTTCAATACTTGCCTTGCATAAATTGGGCAGTGACTGTGGGGTTTGTGGATGTTAAACTGCTGTACATTCTTTTAATACACAGAGACTTTAATTTCTGTGTCATAATGTCCATTTATCACCAATGTGATTAAAATGATGTATGTTCATTATAGAAACTGAGACAGACCTTGTCAGCAGTATCCTCACTGAATGCATTAACCGAATATGGATCAAGCTGTGTTTTGTTTTGAATGCTATGTGTTACACTGGCATTTTCTTAACTCTTCTTCTTGTTGCTGCATTTTAGCGCAAAATGATGTTTCGAATAGCTCTGGACTTGTTGGAGGAGTGCAGCCATCCAGCGTCTCAAGCAGTTCTGGGCTTACTGGAGAAGGGCAACCACCGAGTGTCTCAAGTAGCTCTGGACTTGCAGGAGGAGTACAGCCACCCAGTGTTTCAAGCAGCTCTGGACTTGTAGGAGGAGTGCAACCACCAGCTGTTTCAAGCAGTTCTGGTCTTGCAGGAGGAGTGCAGCTACCAACTGTCTCTAGTAGCTCTTCTCTTGCTGGTGGAGTTCAGCCAACAAGTGTCTCAAGTAGCTCTGGACTTATGGTTGGAGTGCAACCACCAAATGTCTCAAGTAGCTCAGGGCTTATAGCAGGTGTGCATCCACCCAGTGTCTCAAGCAGCCCTGGCCTTCTGACAGGAATGCAGCCACCCAGTGTCTCAAGCAGCTCAGGAGTTCTGGCAGGAGTACAGCCACCAAGTGTCTCTAGCAACTCTGGGCTTCTCATAATGCCACCACCCAATGTTTCAAGTAGTTCTGGACTGATGGGCGTGCCAGCACCAAATATTTCAAGTAGTTCTGGACTTCTGGCAATGCAACATCCAGCTGGGGTTCCAAATATGCCTCATTTAAATATTAGTAGTCAAAGGATGCCAGGAATG